AGGGGCCTACCCAGACCCTAAACCCAAACCCCCAGGCGCACCTGAAAAACCCCAATGGCCACCGTGATGGAGGACTTGAGGGCGGAGGGCAAGGCTCCCTGAACCTTGGCCAGAAGTTTTTTCTTGAGGGTCCAAGGACCTAAAGAAATGGGGTCCCTTAAAAGGGGTTCTAGGGGGATATATGGGGAAGGGGACTATACAAGGGTCCAAGGACCCAAATAATAGGGTTTGAGGGCCCAAATACCATTAAGATTATAGCATTTGGGACCCTAAAGCCTTATTATTTGAGTCCTTGGACCCTCAGGGGTTTTTAAAGCGCTATAGATCCATGTAGGTCATCGTTTTTATCATGGACTTGAGGGGCCGGCTCTGTCGACTGCTCCGCTGGCAGCCAGCATAGCAAAGGCAACTGCCTGGCTACAGGCTACAGGGTACTGGGGCTTAGAATTCAGGATCTCGGATTTTATGCTTCATTCGAAAGACACAATCACTTCCTGGGCTTCTCGGGTAACATCCTGAACCCCACCCTAAACCCTAAACCCCCAAAACCCTAAACCCTAAACCCCCCTAAACCCCCCTAAACACTCCAAAACCCTAAACCCCCCAAAACCCAAAAACCCCACCAAAACCCTAAACCCCTAAACCCTAAACCCCCCCTAACCCTAAACCCTAAACACGCACCCCACCCAGCATCCGAGCCTGTACAAAGCACGCGGCCAAGGCCCCTTCGGCACCGAGGCCAAGTCTTTCAATGATGCCATATCGCACATAGGAGTTCCTGGCAGTGTAATGGGTTTAGGGTTCAGGGTTCAGGGTTTAGGGTTTAGGGTTCAGGGTTTGGGGTTTAGGGCTTAGGGTTTAGGGTTTAGGAGTTCCTGGCATCCCCCAGTAGGGATAACGGAACAGAAAATGGAAGCTACTATAATGGAGAATCAAATGGAAGCACATAGGAGTTCCTGGCAATGTAAGGAGTTTAGGGGTTAGGGTTTAGGGTTTAGGGCCATATCGCACATAGGAGTTCCTGGCATCCCCCTCAATGATGGAGAATCAAATGGAAAAGAAAAAGGAAAATGAAATGGAAACTGGTATTATGTTGGGTTGTATTAGGGTCATATTGGGATATATCGCACATAGGAGTTCCTGGCAATGTAAGGAGTTTAGGGTTTAGGGTTTAGGGTTACCCCCTGGCATCCCCCAGTATATTGGGGTTATAAAGGGATAATGGAAAAGAAAATGGAAACTACCATATTATCATATGGTGTATATATAGGGGTTGTAGGGAATTATAGGGTATATACATAGGAGTTCCGGGCAATGTAAAGAGATTACCCCAGTAAGAATGGAGAATCAAATGGAAAAGAAAACGGAAAAATGAAATGGAAACTGGGATTATATAGGCGATTGTAAAGGTTGGAGTCTAATCTCCTAGTATCCCCTTTAATGATCTCTATAGTAGTCCCCTATGTAATGCTCAATATAACCCCCTTGAAGGAGCTCCTGGCAATGTCACCCTTTGACTTCTTCGTAGCAAAAAGTAACTTTAGCAGAAACAAACTGTTCAGGGTTTGGGGTTTAGGGTTTAGGGTATGACTATACCCCACACAACGGAAACTCTCACCTTGCTGCGAGGCTTGTCCCAGGTCCCAACTGACCCTTTGCCCAAACAATCCAGCTTAACTGAAACACGGGGTGACGGCCCCAAACGGTAGAAAACCCCCTTCACCGCTTCAGAAAGCTTACATAGCGCATACCACATGAGCCATTGTCTAGACTCCTAGTATCCCCCTTAATGACCCCCATAATGGTCCCCTATATAATCCCCTACATATCCCCCTTTAAGGAGTTTAGACTCTAGCTCATATCTCAAATGCAGGTCAGGTTGACAGCCCCATACCTGCAGCCAATCCAAAAGGAAGATTTGCAGCAAGTCCTTCCAAAGCAACTGGTCGCACGCACCAGACGAGCATGTCAGCGTCCATCAGCTAACACTGCCCGTGTCCCTTGACTTCTTTATATTATACTTTATTATACTATATTAGATTACATGATATATTATACTGTATTATACTATATTTTACTATATTCTGCTATATTATACTATATTCTACTATATTATACTATATGATACTATATTATACTATATATTATGTTGCATATTAGCGTCGTGTGACCCCGACACGTTCTGCCAGTCCTACGAAGGCACAGGCAAAAGCTGCTGACCTGGGTTCAGAGTTTGCTGCTAGTGCGACCAATTCCAATTTGCAGGCATTAGGGTTTAGGGTATAGGGTATAGGGATAACAGAAAAGAAGATGGAAACTACCATAGTATATCAGGGTTATATAGGGATGATGGAAAAGAAAATGGAAACTACTAGTATATTAGGGTTATATAGGGATAATAGAAAAGAAAATGGAAACTACTATAGTATGTTAGGGTTGTATAGGGATAGTAGAAAAGAAAATGGAAACTACTATAGTATATTAGTATTGTTTTAGAGCAACCTTTTTGAGGTCCTGACAAGCAGGTCGCCCTGCAGGCAGCATGAAAAGGAATCGGGGAACCTGCCACGTAACTGGCTTGGCTGGGGGTTGGCCGAGCGCTTGTCACAGAGGCTCTTTAGGGTTTAGGGTTTAGGGTTTAGGGTTTAGGGTTCTTGTCCTCGAACTGTATCCCTAACTAAGTCATGAAGATGTCGTTGTATAGGTTAGCTTTCCTACCAGTCTGGATGCATGCCCATTTGAATCTTGTATTTGCTTCTGACCCCGCCTGCATGGCCTGAAAAACTCCCCCATGCTTACTTCACCTGATCATTCCTGAACCATCGGTCCATAAAAGCCAAGTAGATCATATGCTAGAGGCCAGCTTCCAAGACATGTGTACTCTACACAGGCAAATACCTGTATCTATTAGCAGGAAAAAAGAAGGAATGTTAATCCCAATCAAACAGAATACACCCCATTCCCCCCTTTTTTATGCACCAAAACCTACCAGAAGTCTCCATTTTGTATGAGGAGTACAACCTGGCCAGGGATGGCTTCCATCTGCAAATTTGGCGCTGAGAATGATGGGATTCACAACCACAATGTAGCTCATGGTGACCTTGGGCTTGGGGTTCTCAGTTCTCAGGCTTTAGGACTCAGATCCGCAAAAAAGTGGACGGGACAGTATGCCTGAGAGATTGGCCCAGGTTACGAGACCAGCTCGCAATTCTTGGCCTTGCAGAAATTGGCTTCAGATAGTTCAATCATTGCATTCAAGCCATGCACAGTCACAATCACGTACTGATTGTCTTGAGCAACTTCCACAACAGCGCAAGCTCGGCTGCTTCACGCATCTACAAATATGATCAGTATGTAAGCTTGCTGCCAACCGTGCTGCCCCTCTCTGTCACGGTGAAAGCAGCCTCTTTGGCAAGACCAAGACATTGACACTAGCGATGCACGAGAGCACAGTCAAATCTGATTGCGCAACCCTGATGTTGGGTGTTTGCCAAGCATCTGACATCCAGGTAGGAGGTTATCGCCTGAAGTACAGTTCGGGCCTCCGGCCTGGCAAGAGTTTGACGCTTCAATCCTAGCTGCACATCGCAGATGTCTCCAAAATGCCTCGGCTTGGGCACCTCCAACTTTGGCTGCCTCACTATCATGCCCCATAGCCAGAACACTCATGCAGAGAGAGGGGCATGATTCAGTTACATTCTGCAGCCCTACCGTAGCATCATCACTTCACGCAAGGCACAAGGAAAGGAGAGGCTCACGGTAGTCCGCCATCGCCTGCAAGCCTGTCAAGAAGAGCATAATGTCGGTACCAACAGCAGGCTGTTTGTCTGGGCCACCGGCGTGGACAGCCAGCTATGCACAGATAGCCGCTGCGGCACGATGTCTACTATGTACCAGGGGCGGATCTTATCCCAATTGAGCCTTTTCACTCTAGCACACCACAAAAGCAGCAGCGGACACCACATTCAGTCAACTTCCTGCGCATAGGGAACAACACAGCGGAAGGAGGCAGGGAAGGAGCACCAGGGCCACAGATGCTATGATATCCAGCCTCAGCCCCAACACCGCTTGGATCGAGACGACATGCATGGCATGGGCTCATCGGGCTCATCTTAAGGCTGGGACACGAGACACGTAGCGAATTCTCCGGTCTGGGGTGGTAGAGCAGCATTTCCCACCTGCACGGCATGTAACTTCGGGACGTTCGAGAAGCAAAAATCGGCTCTGAAGATGACACCAAGACTATGAGCAAGCACCCTAACAAAGCAGCTGAAGGAGCATGAGTCTCACCACCGGGCTGCTGTGTCTAGCACCTTGCCTTAGGAGGGGAGCGTCCACAGGCCGCGACGGCAGCCACGAAGGCAATGGCAGCTACAAAATAAACAAAATTCTGCCACAAGTACCTGCACGGGCGAAAGAGCATCAAGCAAAAGCCCAACAGTGTGCTCACAGCCAGGGCCGCTGCCACAGCCCTTGCGCAGCATGGGATACTCCCCTTCTTTGAGGCTCATGGGACTGAGTAAGTACGCAGAACTGGGGAGTGAGAACCCCACTTGTAATCCCTTGTCCCGGCCATGATCCTACACTCCTGAAAACTAACATGGAAACCCAAAAGGGGCCCTATAAAGACGACAGTCCCTTTAAAATGGGGCTATATGGGTTTCCATGTTAGTTTCCAGGAGTGTAAATCTCCATCCGGTAGTCGCACGCGTGACCAGGAGAGTCCGCCAAAGCCAGGATGACGCACAGCTGCGGACCCAAGGCGGCTGCCTACGGTGAGGCAGTTAGGGTTTAGGGTTTAGGGTTTAGGGTTTAGGGTTTGGGGTTTAGGGTTTAGGGTTGAGGGTTTAGGGTTTAGGGTTTAGGGTTTAGGGTTGAAGATTGCCAGGCAGCTTCTGAAGGGGTCATACTTGGAGGTTCCTGGGACTTAGTAACTACTTCTAACTGGGCTTATAACCCTACTTGTATACCCCCTAAATGGCCTTATAGGGATTACCCCAGTAATAAGTAGGGGAATAACCCCAGTTATGAATAGTTACTAAGTCCCATGAACCTCCAAGTACGGGCATATTGGGGTTAGGGCACTTGTTCAGCTGAAAGGGGTGCAGGGTGCAGAGTATTCACGCCCCAAACCAACGACACGGAATCCCAAAAGGGGCCATGGAAAGACTGCTGGGTTCTAACTGGGGCCTGTGTGGGGTTCCATTTGGTTTGAGGGTAGTAAACCCTAAACCCTAAACCCTAAACCCTAAACCTTAACCGTGGGGGCAGTAGGCAGTAGCCTCCTGCGCTGCGGCTTCGGCAGCCTCCGAAGGCAAAGGTGCTGCATCCTGGCATCTATCCAGCGGATTCTCTCTGCGGTTTGGCAGCCATCCACGGCCCACGGCCTCCGCCTTCTTCGGGTTGCTCATATCTAAGCCTACAGTTCATCATCATGAGAGTAGGTCTCATGAACGGAACATCAGCATTTTTCGGCAGGCTCCAAGAGCGGGGCGTCGGCAGGCAACCACTGCGTGGGGAATGGCAAAGCCGATGGCCTCAGCTTCTGACAACCCTCAATGACAGAAACCTTATATTGGGATTATATTGGGATAATGGAAAAGGAAAATTGAAACCAGTATATTATCATAGGGGTTGCAATTATTGGGAGAATGGAAGAGAAAATGGAAACTACAAGGCTTATAGGGGTTATATAGGACCTCACCAGTCAAACACTCACAGCACCATGCCAGCTGCAACATGCTGCAACGAGATCCACACCACGAAGCAAAGGCACAGCTCGCAGGCAGTTACCGAGCCCTGCATGCACGGCCCCATGCTTCCTTTGTTTGATCCGTTGATTAAGTACACTCAGCTCTCATGATGACGATTGTCTATAAATATGGCTACTACAATTAGCTATCAATGTGATGGTAGCAACTCTTGCTAGCAAGTCTAGGATAGGCGGAGCGATGCGCGCCTTCATCAGGCCCATGGCAAAGCACAAGAGGACGATGCTGGCAAGCAGTAAGGAAAAGCTGGCTCAACAGTCTTCGAACATGTTTAGCCGTTTGCACTTTCGGCCAGAGAGGTCATGCTGCATGCTTTGGTCGGTGACTCTGACCTCTGAAGCCCGTCCCGATTCGCCAGAATTACATAGTTTTTTTGACCGCCAAAGAGAAAGCCCCAATTTCTGCGAACTCTCTCGAACCTAAACAGGCCGAACCCACAGATCCAGGTGCTCTCTTGCCATCTTACTATGAAACACCGACCTTCTGCTTCATCTACATCTCTTCGTGATGTTGCTCGAATCCCACAATTCGTTATGATTACTTTGAGCAGTGCTGCACATTATGCATGAGTGGCTGTCTGCGGGATTCACCGCGCAGAATTGTGTGACTGCTGCACGCAAGCCGTCCGTCTTGGCAATACTGATTCAGTTTGCACACGATGTTAAGCTGGGTTGGCCCCTAAAACCCTTTGAAAAATATTAGTATATAGGGTCTCTTGTTAAAGCCATTAGGGAAAATATTAAATATCCCAGGGGCCTACCCATTAGGCCAGTTTGCTTCAATCCGTTGCCTCGCCCCTGATCTTTTCTGCGGAGCAACATTCAGCCGGGCAGGCCTGATGAACAGTCCAATGCAGCTGAGAGTGTGCGCCAGTCCAAGGCCATCGTGCAGCCTGGCAGGAGTCACACCATCCACAGCTTGGGAACTTGATGCTCTAAAGTCGGTTCAGAGCGCCATCCGCACAACAAAGCCTTCTGAATCAACACTTCAAGCCTAGGTTGGCCCCTAAAACCCATTGAAAAATATTAGCATATAGGGTCCCTTATTAAAGCAATTAGGGAGAATATTGAATATCCCAGGGGCCTACCCAGAAGCTTAGTCTCAGAAGCATCACAGCCTCTCAGACCGAAGGATCTGGATGAACTTGTTCACATCTCCTCCATCAATTGGAAGACCTGAATGAATCGCACAGCGTCTCCTAGCTTATGTTACCAAAGCACATATCTGCATGTGCCGTACACGCGGCCCGAGAAATGAAAAAACATGTAGCATACCAACATGCTAGAGATGTGACCGGCAGAGAGCAACGCAGCAACGCAACAACAGTTTGCTCAACGCCTCTGGCATCATCATCGATGATTCGGATGGCTGCCGTAGAGAAACCAGCAGCCCACCAAATCCCCATAGATGCGACCTGTGTGCAAATCACGCAGTTTCTTTCCTGCTATCACCCGGACTTGCAGATGTCAGCGTTTGGCAACTAGCTGGCAATGAACATCACATGAGTCATGTTTTTTTTGGTTGTTGAACCTGGTAAGATAATATTCCTTATGTAAAATACTATACCCCAAAAGGAAGATATAATATTACTCTATATTGGGTACCATAATATCCCCAAATAAAATACTACTCACATGCTCTGCATCTCTAAGGTCCCTGCTGCCAAGTTTTCTGTCCAGTTCACCCACACAGGGAGATGCTCAGTGTAGCCTTCATGATAGCCTCGGTCTGGCCCCCTGTCCTCTATGTACAGGAGGAAATCTTGCACCAGCTTAAGTCCCTAAAGTCCTGGGAATTACAGTAGTTTAGGGCCTTTAGGTGGAGCAAGGTTTCATCCATCGACAGTATATACCCTAAATAATAGACCCTAAACCCTAAACCTGAAACCTTTGACAAGCACCCATATATAATCTTACATTCAACGCAGACCACTATTATAATAGGGATCCAAAAAGGGACCATAATTTTGATAACCACCCATGTACAAATGACCACGTAAGAACCGGAAGATCGCCACCCTCCCCAATGTGACATTTTATAGCAAGATAAATAATCCTCATTGTGGTATATTATATTTCTTATATATTGGGATAATGTGAGCTATAGTCTAAACTCCTAGTATCCCCTTTATAACCCCTATTGTAGTCCCATATATAGTCCCCTACTGAGCCTGTACAACCCCCTTTAAGGAGTTTAGACTACAGCTCATATACCACAAGTGGGAGTATGTTCCGTCAACAGGAGTAAGATCGCCACCCTCATATCTCATCGCACGCGTGTGAATTGCAATGAACAGGGCATAAACGACCTGGGACGGCGTAGTAAGATGCCTGGTAGGGTTTAGGAGTTTAGGGGTTTAGGGTTTTAGGGGTTTAGCGTTTTAGGGTTTAGAGTTTTAGGGTTTTCGGTTTGGGGTTTAGGAATTTATTCCAGGATGTACCTGAACCTCAACTGCCTACAGCTTAGTAGGATTACCCCCTAATTAATAGGTATAACCCATAAAACTGTAGATAATTGGGGTTAGAGGTAAGGGCTACATGGGGATTACCAGTGTAACATGGAAAGTATTAACTACTACAACTGGACTCATAGCAATAATTGGATTCTCAGCAGGTATATGAAGGGTTTCATCGTCTATATTGCCCATGGTCTTGATTTGGTTTTCTCCAAATAAACACCCCATATATCCACTCGGTGATACTCCCAAGGAACCTTACATACAATCACCGAAACCCCAAAAAACTACCTCGCATAAGGCTTGGTAAAATCATGTTGTGATGGTGCTGTCATGAAATTTCCAGAGGTGACTGGTGAAATAACATGGGTAACCAGCCTGCGAAATACAGAGTCGAAGGGACATCTCAACAGGTGCAACTGTTGATACTTGCGTCCCTGCATGACCTGAGCATACTACAGCACCATCATTCCCTACTTTGGGTAAGGCAGGGCTTTCAATATCAACTGGATGCAAACGCAACTGCAGCAAACGCTTTGAAGCGC